CATATTTATTTTGATACCCTTAACAAAGGGTTCAATTTGTTAATTAGTAGAATGAAAATGGCTTGGATGGAAGAATAACAAGGCCGAATTGTTTACAACCGACGTGGGATGACAAAATGGCGCAGAACTGGGCAAAGTTGTGGTTTTACCTTGTCGATAGTTAAACAGCTAGGATCTGCTTGAAATCTATCTAAAACTTGTTTAAAATGAGCTTGGTACCATTATGTCTGAGCTGCCGTACATATTTGGAAGGATTTCAACGAGATTGGCGACAAACAGCGGAGTAAATTGGAGAATTTGGCCAAACACGTCCATTTACAGGAGGTAGGTACATTTCAAATTATCATTTTGGTCAGAAAGTACTAACTATTTTACAGCAAAGCAGTGACAACATACTTAAATAACTACCAATAAATTATGTTTCTATAATAGGTAATGTAAGTCCACTGCTGTTTATCTGAATTTGTAAGTCACAAATTGACGTTTGACTATGAGTATTGCATTGTCATTTTCTTGTGAAATATCAGTGCTAGGCCTTTCACACTTACCAATGACTACCCCTAAAAGCACCATCTCTGAACCACATAAGACCGTTAGAATAGCCAAAGCTTTTCTGGTTTGGTAGATAGCACTATAGTGAGAGTGTCGTTTTTGGGTGTGGTCAGTTTCGGACGTTTCGCACAGGATTGGGTTCGGGCACCGTTACCATGTCGACCGTCATGGTCAACTTGCCTTAAAACAGTTGAGATTAAATCTGTCCTAAATGAAATGCATAAAAACTCATATACAGTTCCTAGACTAATACTCATAGTACAAAGATAACATTTAGAGTTTGGGGCGACCATGCTTTTATATAAATCCGTATATACTTTAGAAAATAAAAATCCCCTTGTATTGATCCCCGAGCCAACGGCGCAAAGCGCCGTTCTGGTGTAAGCCCGGGGCGAGGGTATTAATTCCGCCCGGCTATTTACACCCGGGGAAAGAAACACACTAGCGAAGTCTAAAGTTTATCAAATATCGCGGGCGCGGTTCATGGGTGTTTGGGTGGTCATCTCACTGATCTCAAAATATGGCTGTTTGCCAGGAGTGAAGAAGGGGAAAATATAAAAATTACATGTAAGAAAGCTTGGAAAATCATTTCACAAAACAAATTATCATTATTTTTTTCAATTTTTATACATAAACATTTATAAGAATTGATTTAGTATGATAAATCCTATAGTATAGCCTATAGGGCAAGATTGTTTCAATTGTTTATGTATAACTTTGTATTAATATTATAGACTTTGTCATTGTTGTTCAAGTCTTTCCTATGGACTGTATGCGAAAGTTTCATAGTTAAATTAACTTTTGTAGAAGATCATGATAAAAAGAAAAGTAAATTATTATCATTAGCGTCTTGTAGGAATTAAATTTATTGTATTTCAAAGTGCGAGTAATAAGTTGAGCTCAAGTTATCGGCAAAAAGCCGTAAATTTCAATTTACATTTAAAACCGTTTTACGTAGAGTTTCGTTTTCAATTCTACAAATAAAATAAACCACATAGAAATCAAAATAATGTACCTACTTTATATATTTTAGAAATAGATAGTTCTGTACTAAAAAGTGTTCAAGATTCATCTATTGTTTGCAGGTTTTTACAAAGCAATTAAAAAAAGTTATCGTGTTGCCATGACTAACATGACGTGCAACGCAAGCCTGCGTTCAATGTTTGTGTAATTACGAATACTTCATGATTGTTGAAACAATGTTTGGAGAATATAAGCGAGGGGTTGTTGAATGTATGTATTTCTAGTATTATTATAAAAACATCGATCACGGTAAAGCCAATGGCAATGTCACAATTCAAGCAGTTTATCAAATTTATATTTATTATGCGGTGTCTATTATTGATTATTCACGGTTGCTTATAAATATAAATATAACTGATATCAGAGAAACAGGCCGAGTCTCAGTGGCCGAGATGTATACCGTATAATTAATACGTAGACACAGTAGTTGTTATTCCTTTGAGTAGCTGGCTGTTGTGGTATTATTTTACCGTGGATTTGATAACAGAGGTATAATACTTCGACATATTTCTTGATCGTTGAATTTCAGTGAAGCCAATGCAGGAAATTACAGACCACGCAGTCTTTAGTATTGTTACAAAGTTTACAATTGGCGATATTTCGGAAATCATAAGATTTCTAGTCGTTATTAAATAATTTCTTTGGTTTGAGTATCTGGATAAACTGGTCAATCTGGAAATATATTATCTTGTATGTAATACCGCTACGTGTGACTTGTGTCCGTACGGCGTAGTATATATTGCATTGAAGTGTAAAAACTGTAGACCACCGTCTTAATATTAAACGCCTTGAAGTTGTTTATCCTCCTTTATTTGCATGGTCGGCAGATCAAGCGAGGAAATTCATCGTAACAAGAAGGTTTGCAACGGTAGATTGTTTCGGACATATCAAGGAATTGAAAATTGGCTTTGTGGTACAAGTTTTTGGCTTCGCAAACACTTCGATAAACCGGTCGACATGTATTGAATGCCACAATACAGGATTTGTATATCTTTTAGGAGTTTCTTTCACATTAGCGTTTGAGGTTACAGTATCTTTTTGGCAACGATAAAATTGTGCTAATAGGCGTGCCTTTGCTTTTGTGTATTTTTACATTTGACAACATCGGCCATAATTCCCTTGCCACTCCTCCTCGAGTATTTTTAAAACGCTAATTGAAAACACCCCAGATTTTGGGTGACACGTGACCAGCCCCAACCAGGATTTTTCCGCAGCGGGAAGGCGTGCAAAGGTAAGAGCCTGGGTATGAGGTTGGCTGTGTAACAATACAAGCTGGGCCGCTTTTACGCTTTCCGAAATTCATCCAATATCTCATGAGCATGGATGAATCTATTCTGCAGGAAAAAAAAATGTAAATGTTTTGTCAAATAACTACAGCCAACAAACTGGTACCTTGTACGTTTATTAAATCATTGTTGAAATGTCTGACCAGAGAAAGAATAAGTGTGCTACCCCCACGAATGTCGTTAATAGCTTCAAATCAAATATAGGAAAGCACAACGAAGAGCTGTTTGGCTCCGGAACATGTGGTCAATCAAGAAGATATGAAACGTAACGTTGATGAAATTTTAACGAACTCGTAGAGGATGTATGACTATATACATTTAATCCTTCTATAACAGCGGAGGAAATCACTTCAGTAATTAATTCTGTTCGAAAAATCATCCGGTATAGATGGAATAACATATAAGCATATTAAATATGGTGATAAAATTATCGTAGAAATGCTACTGAAAATGTTTAGTTATGTTATCGAGCTTGAATAGATGCCAAAGTTCTTTGAAATGGCGATTAAGATTCTTATCCCCAAAGGAAATAAAACATCACAAACATTTGACGATCACAGAGGTATCAGCTTGTTGCCTTGCATCAATAAAATACTGCAGAGAATTGTATTATTACGACTGCACGCAGAAGGAAGAAAAGTACTCTCACCGACATTTTTAGGGTAGTTACCAAAGAGAACAGGACACTCTAACAACGTGTTTCGTCATCGATGAAGTAGTAATCATTTCGCGAAAAAAAAATTACGTGGCGTAAATGGATATTACAAAGGCGTTTGATACCATGTGGTAGATGCAATGTTGTATAAGCTGCACTTCAACAAAGGAATTGCCGGAAAAGCATGGAGGCTTATTATAAATTGGTATATATAGACACGAAAGAGTTTGTGTTTAGCGGAGGAAAAGCATCACGCACATACAATTATCATCAGGGAATACGTGAAGGGGGAGTGCTATCACCTTGGCTCTTCAAGGTCTTTATTAACGACCTAATTGTGGAGCTAAAAAAACACCAAAGCAGGAATTTTCCTAGGTTCAATATATTTTGGCTCACCCATATTCGCAATGCTATTGCGGCTGAAATCCGGGTTAGACAGGATGCTAAAGACTGCATGGGAATATAGCCATATATAGAGATCCAATTTTAGTGTTACGAAAACGGTTATATTAATATTTTGAGAGAGCCAGCAAGAACATGATGCAAAAAATAAGTCGAGATCTTGAAAACTGGGTTCTCAGATTTTATCTGAAAAGGTCGCGTGGTCAAATCTCGGAAAACTTTGACTTGCAAATAGAACCATTTGAAATTTCAGTTTCCAATTACTTTAGTATACTGTATACATGCATGCATATACCAGTACATCACGATTCTTTATGTCAGAAAGAGAACTTGTAGTAACTATAGCATAGTATACCTGAAGCACTGCAAGTCTGCAACAGCTGCATTTCCACCAACCGTATGAAGTTTAAAGTTACAGATACATGCACTATGTGCACTTGCAGTGAAATGTTCTCAATATGAAAATATGCAAAAATGGAAGAGTGCCAAAGAATAAAATGGATTATATTTACGGTAGAGGAAAATATGCTGAGTGTACCATTTCATGTCTCAGATGTAACATTGAGCGAGTTTTTATAAGATCAATAGAGCAAAATTTAAACACGATCATTCCTTTAAGCCATATTAAAAAACAACAAAATGTACACTTTTTTCACGAAACATCACGGTATTTTTTATCTTGAGTTTACCAATTTTTAAAAAATCTCTTCTTAGTTACTTCCTTGCTAATCCCTGAGCCAACGGGGCGGAACGCCGTTCAGGTGAAAGCCTGGGGCGAGGTAACTAATTACGCAGGGATATTTACACCCTGCGAAATGAAAACATAGCTAGCGAATTAAGTCTAAAGTTCATCAATAATCGCGGGCGCGTGGTTATGATCCAAGGTTGGACCTCCTCACTTGATCTCAAAAGCATGGCGAATTTAAGGAGTAAAAGGAGTAGGATTGAAAGAGTAAGACTTTGCCAATTCTTAAAACCAGATTAGAGACATATTTTTTTTAAGCAACATTATGACTAAGTTATTATTTTAACGAGAGTATTATTACTAATTTCAAAGTACTTTATATAATTCGAATATTTACCTGCAGTTAAAGATTTATACACAAGCCTGAATCGTCGACCGAACTTTGTCTCGGCGTTTTTCAAATTGAAGACGACTCGAGCGGAATGACCTTTCGACGTAACCGACACATATGGCTTTTCCTCCCACGAGTACGATGCGATGACTCCATTGTCAAATTGGTCATCAAAAACTTCTACAGAATCACTGGGAGATAAAAATAATTCTGAAAATCTTAAATGGATCACTTTGTCACGCTCCTTGGATCTGAAGTAAATCTCGCATTTACCGTTGCGAGGAAGATTGTCAGGAAAACCAAGGGATGAGAAGTCGCTCTCGTATTCCTCAGATATTTTGTAGAGTGGACAGTGGTCTGCAATAGTAAAAATATTTATTGTTTATTCAATCGATGTTCCTTGCAAAATATTGGCTGTATGGCTGTTGATACTCTACGTGAAAATCGTAGTCCAAAGACGATCGAAAGAACTGAATGAATTGCGTCGTTTATAAATCACACATATACTGAACGAGTAAAATTATATTAGGTATAATTTTCATAGTCTAAGATGTTGTGCTGCTAAGAGCGAATCTTTACCTGGCAACATTTTCTAAAATTAGTAAGTGTTGTTTATCTTAGAAGTAATTTGTTCGGTTATAGCTATTGTTTTACGCCATAGACATGGTGAGATCCCCAATTCAATGGAAACTTTGGCCATGATTTACGCGCTGGAGAACGTACGTTCAGGAGATAGTAGAAACCTTACAACGATTTTAGGACGCCAACGCGACGACGACGGCCAAAACAAACTCCTTCAAATAAATGGTAATAATGATTATTTGTGGTATGTTATCAATCGTGTGGATATAATACAGTCTTAGAAGTTGAAGACATGGGTTTTATGTTTGGGAAGTATTCGAAATGCAGCCGTTGTATCAAGACGAGAAACTCTGTTAACCGGCGTTGTAAACAAAGCGAGGACAATTACTAAATTGTTCCTTTTTTGTAATTTATTGCTCTGTCAATTCTTCTCAACGATTTACTGTATTGGTAGCCATTGCCGACGCGTTTCCGTCCTAAATCTTAAGGTCTCTAATAACTGGCGAACACCTGGAAGTTAACGGCAGGAAAACTCATAAATCCAGTAGTTGCCAATTTATTTATTCGCATTAGTACAAATTTGGCATGTCAAATGAGCTTTTCGCGTTTTCTGATTGGCAACTAGCAGAGCACTGAATAATCCAGCAAATTTGATTTCAATATCAATAAATATATATTCAGTAATATCCACCTCACTTAACCGAATAGAATTTCAGAAACTTTTTCAGTAAAGCCAAAATTGATATTCACGGTTCTTCATATCCAAATTTCTGAGCGGATATTCACCCCCCCTTTTAAACGAAAAACGCCATTGAAAACTTCACAAAATAATATTTTCAACGTCGGGGCAAAACGGTAGAGGAATTTTCTTTTGCTCAGGAGATCAATATCTCAAAGTTATGCTGAGTTAGTAGCCAATTAAATAGCACGATAAGCACAGTCGATCTTCCGAGCCTATGGTAGCCTAACATTAATAATAATAGTAATAATAACAGAATATTAAAGTGTACTAACAGGCACTGTACGACTTGAACATAATACCAAATGAGACATTTGTTTCATAGTTTATCTCAAACCGATTGCCTCTCTCCAGGGAATCAAAGTTTCTCAAGCTATTTGGAATTTTTGAATCCAATGTCCAATTTGTTATTGCGTTTCCCGAAGAGCCTTTTAGTTCAATAAACACGAAAATTCCTGGAGTAATGATGGTTGAATTAAACCATAGTCGTAGCCATCTATCTTGTTGCGATCTAATGACGAGCAGACATGACCCTTTTGCAGAATAAATATCTCGTTCGTCACCTAGTTTTTCATAATATTCTTTCACACACGTGTCTACAAATAAAAATATGTCAAAACTTTGCATATTAGTATTGGAATGTTTTGAATCGGTGTGATAAGTTGAAAATGATGTGGATGATAGTATCGTATTGTGAAAAAAGTTCTTTTTTTCCCACATTATACTGCCTCACGTGCCCATGTTACGAGTGGTCTAGTTTAGAGAAACGTATATCATGGAACAAATGCAACTATGGTTTGGGAATGATCTACACGAGCGAATAACTCTGATGTACAAAATTCAAATGCACAGTAATTGCATTGTTTTATTATTCGGCAGGTGCTTCTGTAAACAAATAATGTGATTAACTGTCCAAAGTTCAGGTGGTTTGGTCAAACCCATACAAGGTGTCCCCAAAAAAGTGACACTATGGAAATTATCCCCTAACAAACGGCGAGTACCGCAGTTCTGGGTGAAAACCAGGGGCGAGGGTACTAATTCTACCCGGATATTTACAACAGGGAAAGAAACGCACTCTCGCACTAGCGAAGTCTAAAGTTCATCAAATATCTCGAGCGCATGGTTCATGTGTGTATGGGTGGTCATCTTACTGATCTTAAAATATGACTGTCGGTTTGCCAAGAGTTAACAAGCTATATAGGGAAAGTATAAAAAAAATAATGTAAGAAACCTTGGAAAATCATTTCCCATAACAAATTGTAAAACTTTTTTTCCAGTTTTTGAACGTAAACATTTATAAGAATTGATTTAGTATGATAAATCCTAAAGTATAGCCTATATAGGCCAAGTTTGATTCAATTGTTTAATACATGTACGACTTTGTATTATTATAAACTTTGTTCTTGTTGTTTAAGTCTTTCCTATGCATTGTGTGCGAAAGTTTTTTAGTTAAATTAACTTTAAGTAGAACTTCATGATAAAAAGGCAAGCAAATTATTCTCAATAACGTCCTATATGTATGCATGTATGTATGTACGTATTAAATTTATTTCATTTCAAAGTGCGAGTAATGCATGAGTTGAAGCTCAAGTTGAAGAGTTTAATATCGACAAAAAGCGGTGAATTTCAATTCACATTTAAAAACGATTTAGGTATACTTTCTTTTTTAGTTTTACATTAAAATAAAGCTAATAGAAACCAAAATAATATACCTACTTTAAATATTTTAGAAATTGATATTTCTGTATGTATTTAAAAGTGTCCAAGTTTCATCTATATATTGCAGATTTGTACAAAAATTAAAAGAACAATTATCGTGTTGCCAAGACAAACATGCATGACAAGAGCACTGAGCAACGCGAACCTGCGTTGAGTTTTGGCGTAATTACGAATACTTCATATTGGAACAATGTTTGGAGAATATAGGTGAGGGGGTTTTGCATGCATGTATTTCTTGTCCTGTTGTTGTAAAGCGCAGGATCTCATGCCAATGGTAAATAAAAATGCAATTCAATTGTATTTGCGCACTCTTAATTGTGTTCAACATAGTGCTCGGGCATTCAAATTAGGTATTTCCCAATCGAGCAGCGGACTGAGTTCAGTCGGTTGTTTGTTGGGACAAAAAAAACAACAATATGCCGAAAATGAAAAAAAAACACTGAGAACACACGACCTACAATGCATGCTGAACTATTTGCTTCATTGGAGATTACAAATCCCGCTCGAGTCAGCAGCTGAAACGTTTTTCTCTTGCCCACTTAGTCACATGTATTCTGTGAAGGCGACGGGTGAACAATTTAGAAGTTTTTGAGGCGGATCGTAAAAATTCTTGTCTAGAATTCTTGGAGAAATAACTTGTAGAACAATTTAATAAACAGTCTTAGTTGTAATATTTTTGGCTTAAAATAATAAAAAGTATTTTCACGAGATACTGTGTCGTGCTGCTATGTGTTGCTATGTCATTAGGTGATAAGTAGACAGAGGTTGAAGTAATTAAGGGGATTAAGGCAATACGAATTTACATTAATTAATAGGATCTTAATGGATATAAACTGATATTATTACAAGATATTGTATAATATCCTAAGATACTGTTTGATATCCTAAGATATTGTATGATATCCTAAGATATTGTATGATATCCTAAGATTTTGTTTGATATCCTAAGATACCTTACGATATCCTAAGACACTGATATCCTAAGATACTGTATGATATCCTAAGATATTGATATCCTAAGTTATTCATATGCTAAGCTATTGATATCCTTAGATACTGTATGATATCCTAAGATACTGCTACTTCAATAAGCTCGGAGTGTTTCTAAATAGCTCGAAGCTGAGCTCGACTGGCTCAGAGCCAACACGAAAAATTGCTACTAGCTCTGCAAATGTCAGATTATATTAGGTTGGTGATTTCAGTAGCCAACAGCTGGGCACGGTCGGGAAACAGAACAATGAAAACCCATTGCGAATATACTGTAATATCTATGATCACAAGACAAAGTTGCTTTAGAATCATTGTTGAAATTCTGTCTGAATGCTAATAATTCCTCTGAATGTATTTTTACGAATTTTCTTATTCTTTCGATTAATGAGCAGCGAGTTTATGTCAACCCTAAACATGGACGTGCATGGCGATAAAACAAGAACAGATCAAAACAAGACAAACACAAGGCAAGAACAGATCGGTAGCATTTATGAACTATATTTATGTTAAATATTGTGCGTGCATCAATGTATATGATAAATGAATAAATATTTTGAAACAATGTCCAACGAGTGTTTTTTGCTAGGGAAAGCCGAAGCGATTGTGTTGGGTTTGGGTCGAATTGACGTAGAAACATGCATGCGAAATGACGTCACTACTTCAACGTCGATCAATTTGCTTTTCCACCTGCTCTTAAACATCGATACGACGTCCAAATTGCAACATGGATACGAAGTAGATTTCCAGACGTTTTATAACGACGTCTATTCATAGACGTTGAAACGCGACGTCGATTCACCGACGTCAAAACGACGTCGATTCATAGACGTTGGAATGACGGCGATTTCTAGATTTTGAAACGACGTCCATTTCTAGATGTTGAAACGACGTCGATTTCCAGACGTTGAAAGGCGTCGATTTCTCATCGTCGATTCGGTTTGCGTTTTCAACCTTTTTTCGACGTCGATTCGACGAAATCCTCTGACGTCGTTTCGACATTGTTTCTACGTCGTTTTGCCGGCTGGGATGCGGACGCCTGGTAAATCTATAAATATTGACTATTCGCCTAACATGCCGGTAATAATATCAAATTATATCCTTGTTGATATAGCTCAATGTCAACACGGAAACGTCGGAAAATTATTTCTTTATATTTATTTGTGCTATGTTATAAAACAAATATAAAACATTTTTCCGTATTGATATATAGTTATATCAACACTCGTGGAAATTGGGAAAACTCGAAATTGTGTGAAAACACTCCACCCTTCTGGCGTCGTTTTTCCACACAATTTCTCGTTTTCCTTATTTCCATCGTGTTGATAAA